CAAATCAAAGAACAACTACAAAAAAGGACTTTGCTTCTTCTCTATAAATAGCCGCCAAAATCTCTTCTGTGTTCTTCACCTGCAGCCGCAACAAGCCCACCCCCCCCAGCCGCAACTCCTCAAGATCTGGTCCTCTGCCTCAATTCGTAGCCGCCCACAAAAGACTCCAGCCTTGCACTTTGCTTCTGCAGCAGCTGTCAAAAGATAACCAAAACAAATAAACCTCCAGCACCCTGCACTGAACCCTAGGGACAATTATTGTTCCTTTATATAGCCTGCAGTCGGGTGGGCCGGCTTCTCCTTTGTTCACGCGGAAACAACCACACCCGGCTTCTCCTTTGTTCACGCGGAAACAACCACACGTGGTCCCATGTCCCCCATGTCACAATTACGTGTCCGGTTTATGTCCGCATTTGTATATTTCAATGTTCTGATTGTATCACAGCAGAAATTAATAAGGTTGGTGGTTTCGATTTTTCCTGCAAAGGTAAAGAAGATATGAAGATCTTAATTACTCCAAGAAAATTAATCAAGAAGTCTGCAATCCAAAATCACATCCCCAGCCTCAGAGTAATCGGCGATCAATCATATCGAGTTGGCAAAGTAGTCAATCAAGGACTTGATTGGCAGAATTTAATAATAGAATAAGGTAGCTAAAGAAAACTAAAGTAGTTACCACTTCAAGTAGATCTAACTTGCTAAAACAAATCAAGCTGTCTGACCTACAACTGACCCCGCCTTGATGTGAGAGTGCAGCTGATTATTTACTACGTAGTTTGTAAATATCTTTATATTGATCCCCCCCTTCTCCCCCTTCCACATATTCCCTCTTTAGGAACATGACTGTCTCAATCACAGCAGCAGTGCAACTCTTTCTCCTCCTCCTCCTCCTCCTCCCATTGCTATTCGTGCACCACAAGACCAAACCAAAGACCAAATGCAGAAGCCCACCCGGCCCGCCGCCGCTCCCCGTCATCGGAAACCTCCACCAGCTGAGCCTCCTTCTGCACCAATCCCTCTACAGGCTCTCCAAAATCCATGGCCCTATCTTTAAGCTAAGCCTCGGCCGGGTACCTGTACTTGTAATCTCTTCCCCTTCCCTAGCTAAGCAAGTCCTCAAAACCCATGACCTTGCCTTCTGCTCCCGAGCTTCCACCGTCTCCTTTAAGGAGTACACCTACGATGGCTGTGATGTTGCTGGTGCCCCCTACGGTGATTCCTGGCGAAACATACGTAAGATCTTCGTGCTCAACCTGTTGAGCTCGAAGAAGTTGACTTCATTCAGACCGGTTCAAGAGGAAGAGATTGAGGGAATGATCAGTTCGATAAGGACTCGCTCCGATACAAACGCAACGGTTAACATCACAGAGTTCGTGGTTCGTCTGGCTAACAACATCACGTTCAGGGTTGCTTTCGGTTATAGGAGCGAAGGGGAGTATGGAGAGAAGAGCAGGTTTCAAAGGCTTCTTGAATCGGGCAACGACACCGTCGCGAGCTTCTATGTTGGGGACTATTTTCCGGGACTGGGGTGGCTCGATAAGATGACAGGGAAGCTGGGGAAGATGAAAAGGAATGCAAGAGATTTGGATGAATTTTACCAAGAGGTGATTGATGCGCACATGAAGGATGGGAGAAAGGAAGATGGCAAAGAGGATATTGTGGATGTTTTGTTAAGATTACGGGAAGAAGGACAACTTACTATGGATCACATCAAGGGGGCTCTCATGGTATCTATGCAGTTTTTTTTCCCCCAAATTTACTTTCTACCGTTAGGCAGTTTAAATATTAGATAAAGAAGAAGCTTTGACTACAAGAAAAGTTGGATATTTCTTTTTTTCCCCCTTCTTTTTCTAAGAAAGTATTTTACAGATCAATATTAGTAGAGGTTTAAATGCTGAAAAGTAGAGTGAGGGTTAATCAGTTTTTCATTTTTATTTGAGTTGATCGACATGAGTCGTTCGACATTATCTTTCATCAGTCCCTCGATTCATATTTTTCGTTCAACCGTCCTGAAATCCCTTGAGCTGCATGTTTCTTTTGGCCATAAATAGTCCAATTTTGTCATTGAATGGATCTAAGTCCAGACCAAATAGATCGAACCGAAATTTTCAATTTAGAGAAAATTTGTCAAAACTGACCGAACCGCTAGGTTGCTTGCCCTTACCAATTGAAATAAGGTTTCTTTGCTTTCTTGTAAAGGGTGAAAATGTATACCGAACTTTCCCTCTCCTTACCAATTGAAATAAGGTTTCTTTGCTTTCTTGTAAAGGGTGAAAATGTATACCGAACTTTCCCTCCTGTTTCAGCTCCGCATACTTCTTCTTTGCTTTCTTGTAAAGGGTGAAAATGTATACCGAACTTTCCCTCCTGTTTCAGCTCCGCATACTTCTTGCTGCAACGAAGCTCCATCACTGATGTGCATCTGAAGCAGGTCAGACCCCCATGCTAAAAGTAGGCTTCTAACTCGATCCCAGGCTCAATTTTAGCAAAATTTCTTATTAGATCTTTGGAAGAGGACTTAAGAGTTGCTATACTATCCTTTTCTAAATGTGCATTACTGTGCAACAAAAAGACTGCTTTTTCTGGGAAAAGAAGGCAAGTGTACTAATCGAAAGGTACTTCTACCTAAAGAGAAATGCTTAATACTACTGTTGGAGAGAAAAAATGTGGTTAGGTCCTTTTCCAATTAATAAGAAAAGAAGTATATGGTGGATTGATAAAAAAAAGACGTACATATAACAGACCTTTACATGCAGAAAGAACAAACTCATGGTTATACGCCAAGAATGCAACTATAACTTAGACCTGTGCTTTTGCAGAATATTTTCGTTGGGGGAACAGACACATCATCAGCAAGCATAGCGTGGGCGATGGCAGAATTAGCAAGAAAACCAAATGTGATGAAGAAGGCACAAGAGGAAGTGAGAAAAGCGGCAAGCAAGAAAGGAAGAGTTGAGGAAAACGATCTAGCTCAGCTTCAATACATCAAATGTGTAGTGAACGAGACCCTGAGATTGCATCCTCCGCTTCCTTTGTTGGTGCCAAGAGAAACCATACAGCACTGCGAGATCAATGGCTACGACGTCAGCGCAAAGACTAGAGTGCTCGTGAATGCCTGGGCGATAGGAAGAGATGAAGACGCTTGGGAAAACCCGGAGGAATTCAATCCGGACAGGTTCGTTGGTAGCTCAGTCGACTATAGAGGACAAGATTTTCAGTTCATACCTTTTGGCGCAGGTCGAAGGATCTGTCCTGGGATACAGTTTGGAGTTGAAACTGTAGAACTAGCGTTGGCAAATCTGCTCTATGCTTTTAATTGGGAACTCCCACCAGGAGTGGAAAGAGAAAACATTGACATGCATGAAGCCCCGGGTCTTGTAACACGTAGAGCAACTGATTTGCGCCTTGTAGCAACTAACTACGAGGAGGCAAATTGATGATGCGTATATATGTAGCCTACAGCAGTAACCATAATCAATTGTCCGCTATAAAACCACACTGTACTACTTGTGTGTATTGAACATAACAGCTATATATTGAATATGTATGTCCATCATCTACCAAGCTTTCACTACTACATGTGTATTTTAATTAGAAATGCATTATCTAACCAAGAGAGCACATGAAACTTGCATGTGCAACCATGTGCTTTGAACTAAAATATAGACCATTACCGAAAGATACCTCATCTTCTATATTGCTGGAAGCCAAGCTGTCTGCTCTCCAACTGACCTCATGCATCTTCATGGATAAAACAACGTTTGGAGCGTTTGGCAACCGTGGCGTTTTTGCCGTTTCTGTTTTTATTTTCAACGAAAACAATAAAACACGTTTAGCAACCGGGCCGTATTTAACGGTTGGTTTCCACCCCCAATTCTAACAGAAGAAAGTGAGCATCTCCCTAACCTTCAACACATTAAGTAATTCGTAATAAAATGAAACTCTGAGATTGCACCCTCCACTTCCTTTATAGAAACTAAGAGAAGCAACGCAGTACTGCGAGAACAATGGTTATGATATTGATCTAAAGACAAAGAGTGTTTGCTAGAGCGCGGGCAATGGAGAGAGATGAGAACCCGGAGGACTTCAATCCCGATGGGTTCATTGGAATCTCGGTTGATTACAAGGGCCATGATTTCAAGTTCTTACCATTTGGTGCAGGTCGAAGAATTTGCCCAGGCATCAACTTTGGAATTGCGAGCGTGGAGCCTGTGCTTGCAAGTTTACTTTGTACTTCTAATTGGGAATTACTTCCTGGCATGAGGAAGGAAGACATCAATACGTATGTAAGTTCTTGGTGTGGTAACACACAAGAATACTGATCTCTGTCTTGTCGCCACGAAAAATAAATAAAGAAGAAGCCGTATTTAACGGTTACGTGAAAATCGTAATTAAGATTTAAATTCAAGGAACAACGTAATAGTACAAAATCATTGCACATTTGTGTCCAGTCCCTCACAATATTTACTTTGTCATGCTATGCTTTTATTTATGTTAAGCAACATTCAATGACTTTGTGACATTCTGTATGTGCATGTCCTGTGAGGTCAATACGTGTCCGGTTTATGTCCGCATTTGTATATTTCAATGTTCTGGTTGTATCTCAGCAGAAATTAATAAGGTTGGTGGTTTCGATTTTTCCGGCAAAGGTAAAGAAGATATGAAGATCTTAATTACTCCAAGAAAATTAATCAAGAAGTCTGCAATCCAAAATCACATCCCCAGCCTCAGAGTAATCGGCGATCAATCATATCGAGTTGGCAAAGTCAATCAAGGACTTGATTGGCAGAATTTAATAGAATAAGGTAGCTAAAGAAAACTAAAGTAGTTACCACTTCAAGTAGATCTAACTTGCTAAAAAAAATCAAGCTGTCTGACCTACAACTGACCCCGCCTTGATGTGAGAGTGCAGCTGATTATTGACGAAAAGATATAGTAGACATAGATCAGTCTTTTCAGTGATAAAAACGTCTTGCTCTATGTAGTTTGTAAATATCTTCATATTGATCCCCCCCCTTCCCCCCCTTCCACATATTCCCTCTTCAGGAACATGACTGTCTCAATCACAGCAGCAGTGCAACTCTTTCTCCTCCTCCTCCTCCTCCTCCTCCCATTGCTATTCGTACACCACAAGACCAAACCAAAGCCCAAATGCAGAAGCCCACCCGGCCCGCCGCCGCTCCCCGTCATCGGAAACCTCCACCAGCTGAGCCTCCTTCTGCACCAATCCCTCCACAGGCTCTCCAAAATCCATGGCCCTATCTTTAAGCTAAGCCTCGGCCGGGTACCTGTACTTGTGATCTCTTCCCCTTCCCTAGCTAAGCAAGTCCTCAAAACTCATGACCTTGCCTTCTGCTCCCGAGCTTCCACCGTCTCCTTTAAGGAGTACACCTACGATGGCTGTGATGTTGCTGGTGCCCCCTATGGTGATTCCTGGCGAAACCTACGTAAGATCTTCGTGCTCAAACTATTGAGCTCGAAGAAGTTAACTTCATTCAGACTGGTTCAAGAGGAAGAGATTGAGGGAATGATCAGTTCGATAAGGACTCGCTCCGATACAAACGCAACGGTTAACATCACAGAGTTCGTGGTTCGTCTGGCTAACAACATCACGTTCAGGGTTGCTTTCGGTTATAGGAGCGAAGGGGAGTATGGAGAGAAGAGCAGGTTTCAAAGGCTTCTTGAATCGGGCAACGACACCGTCGCGAGCTTCTATGTTGGGGACTATTTTCCGGGACTGGGGTGGCTCGATAAGATGACAGGGAAGCTGGGGAAGATGAAAAGGAATGCAAGAGATTTGGATGAATTTTACCAAGAGGTGATTGATGCGCACATGAAGGATGGGAGAAAGGAAGATGGCAAAGAGGATATTGTGGATGTTTTGTTAAGATTATGGGAAGAAGGACAACTTACTATGGATCACATCAAGGGGGCTCTCATGGTATCTATGCAGTTTTTTTTTTTTTTTTGTTTCCCCAAATTTACTTTCTACCGTTAGGCAGTATAAATATTAGATAAAGAAGAAGCTTTGACTGCAAGAAAATTTGGATATTTCTAAGAAAGTATTTTGCAGATCAATATTAGTAGAGGTTTAAATGCTGAAAATTAGAGTGAGGGTTAATCAGTTTTTCATTATTATTTGAGTTGATCGACATGAGTCGTTCGGCATTATCTTTCATCAGTCCCTCGATTCATATTTTTCGTTTCAACCGTCCTAAAATCCCTTGAGCTGCATGTTTCTTTTGGCCAGAAATAGTCCATTTTTGTCACTGAAGGGATCTAAGTCCAAACCAAATAGATCGAACTGAAATTTTCAGTTTAGAGAAAATTTGTCCAAACTGACCGAACCGCTAGGTTGCTCGTCCTTACCAATTGAAATAAGGTTTCTTTGCTTTCTTGTAAAGGGTGAAAATGTATACCGAACTTTCCCTCCTGTTTCAGCTCCGCATACTTCTTCCTGCAACGAAGCTCCATCACTGATGTGCATCTGAAGCAGATCAGACCCCCATGCTAAAAGTAGGCTTCTAACTCCCAGGCTCAATTTTAGCAAAATTTCTTATTAGATCTTTGGAAGAGGACTTAAAGAGTTGCTATACTATCCTTTTCTAAATGTGCATTACTGTGCAACAAAAAGACTCTGCTTTTTCTGGGAAAAGAAGGCAAGTGTACTAATCGAAAGGCACTTCTACCTAAAGAGAAATGCTTAATACTACTGTTGGAGAAAAAAAATGTGGTCAGGTCCTTTTCCAATTAATAAGAAAAAAATGTGGATTGATAAAAAAAAAAGACGTGCATAGCAGACCTTTACATGCAGAAAGAACAAACTCATGGTTATACGCCAAGAATGCAACTATAACTTAATTGGGCCTGTGCTTTTGCAGAATATTTTTGTTGGGGGAACAGACACATCATCAGCAAGCATAGCGTGGGCGATGGCAGAATTAGCAAGAAAACCAAATGTGATGAAGAAGGCACAAGAGGAAGTGAGAAAAGCGGCAAGCAAGAAGGGAAAAGTCGAGGAAAACGATCTAGCTCAGCTTCAATACATCAAATGTGTAGTGAACGAGACCCTGAGATTGCACCCTCCGCTTCCTTTGTTGGTGCCAAGAGAAACCATACAGCACTGCGAGATCAATGGCTACGACGTCAGCGCAAAGACTAGAGTGCTCGTGAATGCCTGGGCGATAGGAAGAGATGAAGACGCTTGGGAAAACCCGGAGGAATTCAATCCGGACAGGTTCGTTGGGAGCTCAGTCGACTATAGAGGACAAGATTTTCAGTTCATACCTTTTGGCGCGGGTCGAAGGATCTGTCCTGGGATACAGTTTGGAGTTGAAACTGTAGAACTAGCATTGGCAAATCTGCTCTATGCTTTTAATTGGGAACTCCCACCAGGAGTGGAAAGAGAAAACATTGACATGCATGAAGCCCCAGGTCTTGTAACACGTAGAGCAACTGATTTGCGCCTTGTAGCAACTAACTACAAGGAAGCAAATTGATCGATGATGCGTATATATGTAGCCTACAGCAGTAACCATAATCAATTGTCCACTATAAAACCACACACTACTTGTGTATTGGACATGACGACTGATGAGTCTGAATGTGCGTTATCTGCCGATTGTTTACCTTTAACTACTACATCTGCATTCCAAAATTAGAAATGTATATGTAACTAAGCAAGCGCATGGGCAACCATGAGCTTTGAGCTAAAATATAAACCGTTACCAGAAGATCCCTCATTGGAGAAATTTTTTAAAAAGACCATTTTTTGAAAAAAATTTAGCAAAATCGACTTTTTTTGAAAATATTTAGCAAAATCGACCTCATTTTGTCCAATCATTTTGGCCACATCATCTCGATTGGACAAAATGAGGTCGATTTTATAAAATATCAACATTAAAATACACGGGACTAGAAATCTCGTGATTACGGTTAATATGAAATAGTAGTCTCATATACTTTGTGCTAAAATGGTTAAGGTTTAATTAACAATGACTAATTACACGGGAAGTCCCGTGTATTTTAAAGTTGATATTTTGCAAAATCTACCTCTTTTCGGCCAGCCGACCAAAAAGAGGTCGATTCTGCTAATACTTTCACAGAAGGGTGGTCGATTTTGCTGATTATTTTTTAAAAATATATTTTTAAAAAAATTCTCCCTCCTCATCTTAAAATAAATTGGCGAAAGACAAGCTGTCTGCTCTCCCAACTGACCCCTTATTCTGGAAGCACTACAGGTTATTGACAAATATAGGAAGTAAATAAAAAACCATATCTCCATTCCCATCCTGCAGTAGAATGCCCCAAAAGAAAAAAGGGCAAAAACGTAAGCTTTGTGCCGATAAGATAAGCCTCACACAAATAGCCTAGTTTAGCAAATTAGAGTTTCCTTGACAGGCTTTGTGCCGATAAGATAAGCCTCACACAAATAGCCTAGTTTAGCAAATTAGAGTTTCCTTGACAGGCTTTTAGCAAACAAATAGCCTAGTTTAGCAAATTAGAGTTTCCTTGACAGGCTTTTAGCAAACTATAACTGCTACAATTCAAGCAGCATATAAAAGCAATTGTGCAACTTAAAACTGTACACTTGTGTGTATTGAACATAACAACTATATATTGAATATGTATGTCCATCATCTACCAAGCTTTCACTACTACATGTGTATTTTAATTAGAAATGCATTATCTAACCAAGAGAGCACATAAAACTTGCATGTGCAACCATGTGCTTTGAACTAAAATATATATAGACCATTACCGAAAGATACCTCATCTTCTATATTGCTGGAAGCCAAGCTGTCTGCTCTCCAACTGACCTCATGCATCTTCATGGATAAAACAACTGATTATTGAAAAATATAGAAAGTTAACAAAGAACCATATTATGTATGTATATTGATCTCCCTTCTCCCAAATTCACACAATCCTCACTACGAGCATGACTCTCTCAGTCCTAGCAGCAGTTCCACTCCCTCTACTCTTCCTCGTGCTACTATTCATACACCACAAGACCAGATCAAAGCCCAAGTATAACAGCCCACCAGGCCCGCGACCGCTCCCCATCCTCGGAAACCTCCATTAGCTCGGCCCACTTGCCCACCGAACCCTCTACAGGCTATCAAAGATCCATGGCCCCATCTGAAGGAATTTCAGCATCAGCAGCAGAATCAGGAAAATCAGGCGGCGGTCGACTGGTCCGGTCGACCGC